TGGGAAAGATTGAAGGCGGGAGAAAGGGACAACAGAGGATCAGATGATTGGATGGCATCACCGACTCAATGGACATGAGTTTGAGTAGGGTTTTAGAGTTGGTGATGGACAGGGAAGCCTGGCGTGCTGCAGTCCATGAGGTTGCAAAGAGTAGGACATGACTGAGCAGCTGAACTGACTGAACCAAATCTTGGAAAAGACTCTTAGTATCTCTAAGCCACAGTTTCATTCATTGAGGGATGGAAATAATTAAACTAACATAGTTTTGTAGTTTAATTGATTTTAAACTGTATTGAAAATTATATATTACCTTACAAATAGAAGATATTAATGTCATCAGTGTTCTTCTTAATGATGCATAACAGTCTTTTGGGTCATGTTAATAATGATGTCAGTGTGCTCATACCTTAGCGTAAACTAACTTTCATCCCTATTTTTAGTGGCTTTTGTTTCATAAAGAAAGGGTAGATTATCCATAGATGGTTTGCAGCTGGGGGCATCACTTTTAACACAAAAAAATCACTAAAATGTAGGATGGTTTTGGTGGAGAGGCTACTGTGTACCACACACAGGGTTGTGGGCCACACTTCTTAGTTGTGGGGAGCTGTCCTCCAGTCTTTGGATGCCATGCTCAAGGATTTGAGATCAATAAAGAGAAGCTGCCAGAACTTAAGTATTTCATTCCCAAAGAAGTATTTAAGAACCTAAAAGCCTTCTGAATTACAAAGCATTATGTTAAGTGATATAAAAGAGTCATTGGAGAGTCTTTTTTTAGTTTATTTTTAATTGAAGGATAATTGTTTTACAATATTGTGTTGGTTTATGCCATACATCAACATGAAATTTTTGAATATGGCAAAATTCCACACCCATCAGTGCACCTTTAGATAAGGTGAACCAAACTTTATGTGAAGCCAAGATGTTTCAAAGAGAAGTTCAATAAAGTAAAAGAAAGTAAAACCATCCAAATCTGGGTGTCTTGTTTACCTACATGAGAAAGAAGGAAGACAACTTTGGGTACAGCAATATCTTTGGGCTTTACTAGTGCTCAGTACTGTGCTGGCAATTGATAAAAGTGAGCAACATATGAATTTTCAGAGAATGAACAAGGTGATTGAATTTTGAACTTAAGTTGGCCCTTTCTTTGTGTATATACTGCCTGAGTTAGTGGAATGAGAAAAAAGTTCTAATGGTGGTGCCACCAGTTAATCTGTAGGATGATTTTGAGCAAGTCAATTACTATTTTAATCTTATCCTTATCTATAAATTGAGAATTCCACTGACCCTTGCCTATTTTGAAAGACTGTTGAAGATTGATTGAGACAGTATTACTTGCCATGGAAATATAGGGGTTAAGATTTAAGGACTTAATTTTTGTGTAGTTTAGAATAGTTCTCAAAGACCAGGCTCCCTGTGCTACCTAATCAAGAAGTGTGACCTTCTGTGTTAGTTTTTCTTTTCTTCAAATAAGCAATGTGATAGTCCAGGAGATCAGTAAGCAGTCTTGACTCTAAAGGATGAAAACTTGGGAGCCAGAGACATACATGAAATTTGAAGAGTAAAAATATATTCACAGCATCAAAAGAACTATGAAATGCCACATACCAGTATGACAGTGACATAACTTATAATTCAGTAAATGGATGTGATCCATAGGAACAGAAGTCAGAACGATTGGCTTTATGGAGGGAACGGGATTAACTGGAAAAGGGGATGAGGGAACTTTTTAGTTCTAGGGTGATGGAAATGTTCTACATCTTGAGTAGTGTGTTGGTTATACAGATGTAAACATTTGTCAAAACTCACTGAACTCAACACTTAAAATTTGTGTATTTTTGCATATAATTATGCTGTAACAGAATAATAAAAACAGAAAAATGTTTAAATGGAAAAATTACAAGATATGAAAGCAATAATCAAGTGGATACAGATTAAAACCAGATGTTGTACCTATAATCATAGTATAGGTATATAAAACATATAATTTTAATGAAAAACAAAATTAAAGAATCATCAAGGTGTGTTGGGGTGAAGTTAATCCAGGAATGCCCCTATTTTGTGGATTCTTGAGGTTGGTTTTGAGGAAAGGATGAGCTGTAGATGGCCAAAAAGAAGGGAAAGGCTTTTTAAATCCTGGAAACTCATATGCACAAGGGCTCAGATGGAGCAGGGTACAAACTGAGGCAGGATAGCAGATTGATTTGCAATGAATTTATGATGGAGTAACAATGCTTTAATGTTTCTTTTCATAAAATGAGAATCCTAGTAGCAGCTTTTGAAAACAGTCAGTCAGTTCAGTTCAGTTGATAAGTCATGTCCAACTTTTTGCGACCCCATGGACTGCAGCATGCCAGGCTTCCCTGTCCATCACCAACACCAAGAGCTTACTCAGACTCTTGTCCATTGAGTCAGTGATGCCATTCAACAGTCTTATCCTTGGTCATCCCCTTCTCCTCCCGCCTTCAATCTTTCCCAGCATCAGGGTCTTTTCCAATGAATCAGCTCCTCACATCAGGTGGCCGAAGTATTGGAGTTTCAGCTTCAGCATCAGTCCTTCCAATGCCTATTCAGGACTGATTTCCTTTAGGATGGGCTGGTTGGATCTCCTTGCAGTCCGAGGGACTCTCAAGAGTCTTCTCCAACACCACAGTTGAAAAGCATCAATTCTTCGGTGCTCAGCTTTCCTTATATTCCAACTCTCACATCCACGCATGACTACTAGAAAAAACATAGCTTTGACTAGACTGACCTTTGTTGGCAAAGTAATGTATCTGCTTTTTAATAAGCTCTCTAGGTTGGTCATAGCTTTTCTTCCAAGGAGTAAGCGTCTTTTAATTTCATGGTTGCAGTCACCACCTGCAGTGGTTTTGGTGCCCCCCAAAATAAAGTCTCTCACTGTCTCCATTGTTTCCCCATCTACTTGCCATGGCGTGATGGGACCAGATGCCATGATCTTAGTTTTCTAAATGTTGTGTTTTAAGCCAACTTTTTCATTGTCCTCTTTCACTTTCATCAAGAGGCTCTTTAGATCCCCTTCACTTTCTGCCATAAGTGTGGTGTCATCTGAGTATCTGAGGTTATTGATATTTCTCCTGGCAATCTTGATTCCAGCTTGTGCTTCATCCAGTCTGGCATTTTGCATGATGTACTCTGCATATAAATTAAATAAGCAGGGTGACAATACACAGCCTTGACATACTCCTTTCCCAATTTGGAACCAGTCTGTTGTTCCATGACCAGTTCTAAATGTTGCTTCTTGACCTGCGTACAGATTTCTAAGGAGGCAGGTAAAGTGGTCTGGTATTCCCATCCCTTTCAGAATTTTCCACAGTTAGTTGTGATCCACACAGTCAAAGGCTTTGGCATAGCCAATAAAGCAGAAGTAGATGTGGAAACAATAATTATTGACTTAATGATATTTTAGATTATTACTACATAAAATATATATATATTTCTTTCAATTTTTTTTGAGAACTTGAGTATTCTTGTTAGTAAAGCCTGATGCTCGAACATCCACAATTTTTTTACATTTATATATCTAAGATCTCTATTATCCAAGGAGGTTAGTATGCACATGGTTATTCTCCCTTTTAATTGAAACTAATGCATACTTTAATGACTTTTGTTTTATTTCATTACCTTTTTGTTTTGTTTCCTAAGAATCCATTATGAGGATTGGACTCATTTTTTGCAGAGCTCAGAAAGTTTAAGATGTGTTAAAGGCATTCCTTTAATTGTTATCTCACCTTAGCCCATAAACATTGCCCATTAATTATAGGACTGTTTTCAACCATCCCTGGCATATGCCTCTAAGAAAATTTCACTTTCAGTCAGTTTGACAATTGAATTCATGAACTGTTGTTCTAAAAGCCCTTGATACTAATTATTGTATTATATTTGTCAAGAACAAAAAAGAGATCAAGATGATAGCAGCCTGCATAATTCAGGCTGTAATATAAAACTTGGAAAAAGAACAGTGTGGTTTGTATTGTGTAAACTGTATATAGAGTACAAATACAAATTTTTAAAAATTGAAATGCATTTCTAAGAAAGTATCAGTGGCATGTATTTGAAGTAATTTGGAAACATTTTGCCAAATTAGTAAATTTGTGGTGGAATTAGAAGGGGTGAAAGTTAATAATTTCAGAAAAATTTTTTATTATCACAAGCTAAAGTATTACAATTGATTAAAAGCAACGTGAGTCCACTTCTATCTGAAAAATTATTAATTTCTCTTGGGTGGGAAGGAAAAGGTAATCAGCACCACACAAATCAGCAACAATGATGGGAAGCTCCAATGTATATACACCAAATTTGAGGGTTATTGTCCCTCAAAGAAGGTAGGCGTTAAAGATGGCATGATCACTTATATTTGTCTGGTTAGCTTGATGTTTATCAGATTTCTATAGTTAACCTGGGTCTGGTTAGAGTTATAAATTGCTTTCACCTGAATTGGTCCTTGTCCAGTTTTCACACTATGTAAATATAGGCAGAAATAAAAAGAAAATTTTCCTAAGAAATAGCTTTGAAAACTAAGGAAGTCTGTTGGAAACATAAAGTGTTTTTGGCATCTTATATGTCATGTATGAAAAGTTAATGGAATTGGTTTTCATGACTGGCTTATGGAATTGGTCTCATTATTATATTGTCACACCTTGTATATGGGTAAATGGGTAGATCGTATACTCATTTCTGTGAAAAATTATGACCACTTTGTGGAAGAACTGGCAATATTATCAAGAATTTATGAATTGGAGTATGATTTTGGTAAAACTGGACTTTGTCTTCAGCCAATGCTTTAATAACCGAACTTTCAGTCTCTAACTGTTCATCAGAATTATTTGATTTTTGTTTGATAGAAAGATGGAGATGGGAAATGAGAGTTGCTTACCATTTTATCTGCTGGTTCATAGGAAGAAAAGTGGAAAATTTCATCTCTGCATATTTTGAGTCTCAGCTAGTGGAGGACTAGTTTTGTCACTGATTTCTCTTAACTCCAGACATCCTGTCTTCCATGCCCCTCACTTCCATTCTGGGATCCCATGGATTATCCTGGAGAAGGAAATGGCAACCCATTCCAGTATTATTGCCTGGAAAATTCCATGGAAAGAGGAGCCTGGCCGGCTACAGTGCATGAGTTGCAGAGAGCTGGACACGACCGAGTACGTGTGCATACATACATATTATCCATGCCTTTGGACTCCATGCTTTAAATAATGTCTCTCAAGAATATTAAGTCATTTTTATATATTTTTATTAATACTACATAGAATGACATATAAACGTTTTTTGATCAGTGTGAAATAATCTTTATTGCTACAAAGAGACAATATTTTACTCAACTTTGGAAGCCCATATTATACATAAATGTGCATGTTACATCATTTAAAAAATGTTGAAAATAGCTGTTGATTCTCCATTTTGACCTTTAAGGAGTTCATTTTGGAGGCATTTTCTTATAGTCCTGTTAGCAAGCACTGACCTTTGAATCAAGCCAAAATGGGGTACACAAGACATCAGACTTCTGTAGGAACATGGATTTTAACTTTTTAAAAGTGATTTCACTAGAGGCTAGTTTAGGGCAACAAAGTAAATGCCTGAGAAAAGAAGTCATCAGCAGAGGTTTATGAGTTACCAAAACAAAGAGTTCAAACTGTGCTCACCAAAAGTGAAGCAGTTAAAAAATTAGAGAAGGTGTTTGAATTGATGAGCTGTTCGAGTTGGTCTTCTGACCTCTGAAGTGACCTTTTGCATTACCTCCTCGGGTTAGAAAGATAATTAACTTTCCTCTTCTTTCCCCCTAAGGCAACCCTGGCCAGGATTTCAGCTGGTCCTTTTGAAGGGTAATATCATGGTGCAGTGCATTGGATTAGGATGTAACCTTGCGTATCTGCTTTTCACTGGGACCACTGAAATAGAGATGGCCACTGCTGTTGCTGACTTTGGATGGGGCTTGGGGAGGTAGCTCCTCAAATCCAAACCAGTCTGCCCCTTGATAGCTTCTGAGAGCAGGAAGATCGTTCTATTCTGCCCAAACTTTTTTTTTTTCATTGTCAGTTTTAGAGAACAATGACTCTATTATTCAAGGGGATAAAAATGAAATAAATTGTTTGAAAGTGATTTGATTAATATATGATAGTTATTTTATATGATGAAGATTTTTTAAAGTTTATCCTATTTTTCAACATGTTTAGCTGCTGTCTTATCTTCACAGCACTTCTGGAGTTGCAGTAATAAACAGCTTAATCAGGTCTCATAACTTTGTTGTATACTGCTAAGGACTTTAATTGGAAATATAATAAATCCTTTAAGTAAGGACTAGTCATTATAGAAAGCTGATTTGTGACAGCTAAGTGTTCGCATTATACTAAAGTGAAATATAAACACTCCTTTGTAACTTGCATGTCATTATAACACACAGATGTCTTGGCTCCAAGAACACGTGTATTAAATGAGTGCTGGCTTGGATTTATGCCAGGGTCGTGGCTTAGTGATCTTAAGTAAGAGCCCAGAACATCCCATGATGGGAGGTCAAGCTAACTGCCTTTTTGTTAAAAGAATTCTACACTGTGTGTGGAGTCTGTAACTTGTGGAGAAGAGATGCTCAGATCAATCTATTCTCCTACAACCTTCAACTAAAGACTACAACATATTTTAAAATCTCCTAACAACTAAAGAGAAAGTACATGAAGACTTTAAGATATAAGTTGAAAATCTTGCAGAAGACTCTTGCTTTAGGGCAAATAGTGGCTGGCTTAGTTGCTTTGAGAACTGCTGCGTTTTCCACAGTTTTTAGTTATGTGGGGAAACTGAGAGTATAGAGTACATCTTTTCCTGTGTTGAAATAAATTGTGTATGTGTTGGGGGTAAGTGAATGGAAAGAGGGAAGGGAAGAAGAGGAGCAAGGCTGTATGGTAGGGCAGGTCCACTAGGTCATTTTGAATTTTGGTGAATCAGGTCTCTATTGGAAATGAATCATGTAAAGATGTACATTCTGTAGGAGGAAGCATGAGCATGGGTTTTAAGGCTGTGAAGCATTGACTGACCAATTGCTGAATGCAAATACCAGTAGAGATTGACTTGTGCTGATATTACTACTAACACTATTGTTATTTTAGATAGTGATCCGATTATAGAACTTGTATAATTGTTGAGTGGTCTGCCCATCATTGTCCACCTCCTCACACCCACCCTCAACCCCCCGCTGACCTTCAGTTCAGTCACTCAGTCATGTCTGACTCTTTGCCACCCCATGGACTGCAGCACGCCAGACCTCCCTGTCCATCACCAACTCACGAGTTTACTCAAACTCATATCCACTGAGTCGGTGATGCCATCTAACCATCTCGTCCTCTGTCGTCCCCTTCTCCCGCCTTCAATNTGGCTCTTACCTTGACCACCATGGACACACGAGGGCCACCTTTACGTTTCCTCCTCCCGTGATGGTGCTTTTCTGAGGGGTTCCTGAGACCTTCCTTTTCCTTGCTCTCTTGGGGAGTTCACTCCTGGAAGATAGAGTGCTAGACTGAGACAGGAGAGTTTCTGGTCCAAGTTCGGCCACAACTAAGTTGTGTGACCTTGTGCAAGTCCTTTGACCTCCGGGTCCCTGGTTTCTTTATTCACACAGTCAGGGAAGTCACTGAAACCCCTGGGCAAGACAGTGCACCTCTCAAGTGGCTCTGTCATCCCGTCCATTGCACCCCCTCCTCCCACTCCTTCCCTCGTTTCTGAGGGTAACCTGAAGCTGGCCTACAGCTCCTGCTGTCCGGGCAGCCAGGTCTCATATATGCTGTTGAGTCCCTCCCTCATGCCCCACCTTCATCTTACTAGATCTGGGACAGAGGTGTGACCCAAGAGCAATCACTTCCTAAGCTGGCCTTGCAGCTTAGGCTTAAAGTAGATGAACTGGATTCATCTCTTTCTGGGGGGAAATTTGAACAAAGGTCCTCCCTCCCACAAAAGTATTTTTCACTTAGCAGTAAGACTCAACTGAACTTATTTTCTATCCTTGAATGTTCTTGGAGATTTAATGTGCCATCCATGTAATGATCTTGCTCTCCTGGGACACAGACTCTTGAGCAGGCTATAGCAGTGAAGGGAGAAAGAGTCTCTCCGGATCTGTCAATATTTAGCGGGAGAAGCAGACAAAGTGGCCCACTTTCAGCCACTGCCCACTTCAGGACCGTCTTCTCCTGGATTAGAGGAAGAGGGAGCTGGTTTCCTATCTGCTCCCGACTTCCCCACACTGCTCTGTCTTCTGTAGGGTGTGCTCAGAAAATTCGAATGCCAACTCTGAAAGTGAAAGTGTTAGTCACTCAGTGTAACTATGGACTGTGATGCCTGGACTGTAGTCCGCCAGGCTCCTCTGTCCATGGAATTCTCCAGGCAAGAATACTGGAGTGAGTTGCCATTCCCTTCTCCAGGAGATCTTCCTGACCCAGGGATTGAACCCAGCTCTCTTTCATTGCAGGCAGATTCTTTACCACCTGAGCCACCAGGGAAGCACAAAACAGATGTAGTCCTTGCCCTCGTGAAGCTTACAGTTTAGGAAAACTGACTTCTGATTTAGTTTCCTTGGCTTAAATCAATGATCTTTAATGGCCTATGATTTCAATTCTTAGACTGAAGAGATTAAGGCCAGATAGCAACCAAATAAAAATGGAAAACTATTGGAAACAATATTAGTATTTCTCTTGACCTCAATTAGTATAGTCCATCCTAAAGGAAATCAGTCCTGAATATTCATTGGAAGGACTGATGCTGAAGCTGAAACTCCAATACTTTGGCCACCTGATGTGAGGAGCTGACTCATTGGAAAAGACCCTGATTCTGGGAAAGATTGAAGGCAGGAGGAGAAGGGGATGACAGAGGATGAGATGGTTGGATAGCATCACTGACTCAATGTGCAGGAGTTTGAGTAAACTCTGGGTGTTGGTGATGGACAGGAAGGTCTGGCATGCTGCATCCATGGAGTTGTAAAGAGTCAGACCCGACTGAGCGACTGAACTGACCAGGTTGAGAAGCTGAGGCGTCAAAAACTTAAGTTGTTATCATACAATGGAATGCTCCCTGTTTACCAAATTGCTCATCATTTGGTGAAACTATTTTTACCCATCTAAGTGGTGTTAATATATTTTGAAGCAGATAATGTTTAATTGTATCATTATTCTTTTAAACAATACCTAGGAAATACAACCTCAAAGTTGAATGTATTCAATGTGATAGTGGGTCTTTTAGGATACAGTTTGTCATTATTGTTGTTTAGTTGCTAAGTCATGTCTGACTATTTTGTAACCCCATGGACTGTAGCCCAGGCTCCTCTATCCATGGGGTTTTCCAGGCAAGAAAACAGAAGTGGGTTACCATTTCCTTCTCCAAGGGATCTTCCTGACCCAGGGATCAAACTTGCCCCTCCTGCATTGCTTGGCAGGTGGATTCTTTACCACTGAGCCACCTGGAAAGTCCCTGGGATATAGTTGCTTGACAGCAGCAACAGCAATAACAGCAATTCATCATGTGATAGAGACAATCACAGTACTTTATAAGTGAATACTGGAGGCCCTAAAAATTCAGTCCTTGTGAACAAGAGGAAAATTTATGTGAACCAGAAGTTCCTGTCTTCCTGTGTCTGCCATTAGGGTACAGTGCTGAATCCACAGTATTGCCAATTGGTTAATATCTTGATATTGAATATTATATTCATGTTTAAGTGCCACCTGATGTGAAGAACTGACTCATTAGAAAAGCCCGTGATGCTGGGAAAGATTGAAGGCAGCAGCAGAAGGGCATGACAGAGGATGAAATGGTTGGATGGCCTCACTGACTGGGTGGACATGAGTTTGAGCTAGCCCCAAGAGTTGGTGATGGACAGCGAAGCCTGGCGTGTTGTAGTCCATGGGGTCACAAAGAGTCAGACATGACTGAATGACTGAACTAACCTATTAATATTTCATTAACTAGTGTTAATAATCAATAGTGAAATTAAGTGTTAAGGCTATCTTCTTGAAAGGGCTCAAAATTCTCTTCCAGTGTTCGCTGTCATGACTATTATCAAACCTCATGCTTGC